CAACCCATTTAAATTGAATGGGCTGGACCACTGAAAAAGGGTGGCCAAGACAGTCCAATCCTCAACGGAGAGAGATTTGCGTTGAGGTTCGGCAGCCTTAAGGGCCTCGAGCACAACGATTGGATCCTGACCAGCCCGTTGTAAATCTAGGAATGACTGCAGGAAGGACTGGCGGGCCTGGTCGAATAAAGCACCTAGTCTGTCCAGCTGCGTGCGAAGTTCCTGAGTGCGTCGAAGGGAATTCGTCAAGTCTAAATGAATGAAATTAAGAACCGGATTAATAAATCAATTTTAAAAGAAAATAAAAAGAAACAACTTACTAAGTGTACTGCTTGTGGTGGCGACGTGAAGCGCATTAAGCACGTCCATGGCCAAATCTACATCTAATGAGCACATGCACTTGAGGCTCCGAGAGGAGCATGACTCACATTTGAGCCCTGGCAAACGAGAAGAGTTTGAATTAAACTCTCCTCGAGACAAAGCTGAAATGCAAGCCTGCGCAGGAATTGCAGGCTATGGAAAATATGATTAACTAATTAAAATGAAAGTACTAAAACAAAGGAACTTACGTCACGAATAGTACGATTGATTTGCAGTAAATCCTGCATGGTAAAACTGGCCTTTTGGGTAGTCAAAATAACACCTAAATCGAGGAACTCGGGGTTCACGTCGAATATGGGGTTTTGGCGTTGCAAAGGCGCGCTGTTCTATTCAAATTGACACAAATGAATCAGATTAAATAAGATAGGAAGAAGTTGGAAACTCACTCGGGCGTGTTCAATTCGTTTGAAAGGAGTGAAGCCTTCCACCGAGTCTCCTGGCAATTTCAGACGACCCTGCTCATCAATGAGCAGGGCGGGACGGAAATTTGATGCTTTGGGAGGGGCGGGGGCGGATTTCGAAGATTTAAGACGTTTCGAGGGTGGAGGTACCACCTCCTCCTCTGTATCGACTCTTCGACATCCAAGACCTCCATTTGACGTGCTTTTCCTTTTGCGGCCTGACGAAGGCGAGGGGGGAGACGAACACGTTTAATTTGATAAGAGGGCGTCGCCGATTCTTCTGACTCAGGGGACATCCGGGATTCCTCTACCACTTTAACAGTGGTTTTGGACCGAGCTGTTGCTTGGAGTTTAGGGAGAGGCTTCTCCACCTTCTTCTTTGAAGAAGAAGCTTTGGGAGTATCAGAAAGATCTTCCTTGCGAGGAGTTTTAGTAGCGGAGCGACGATCCACTAGAAGACAAAGAAAGAATGAATTAAATAGAATTGAAGTGAAAAAAGATGATACGCACGGATTGATGAGGCATCAGCCATAAGGCTAGCCAATTCACGTTTGCGTTTATTCTGTTTAGGAGGACCCACTGATTGATGATCTCCTGAAGGAGAAGGGGAATCCTCCGCAGGAGAAGGATTGAGAGGACGAGGACCTTTTGTGGACGAACGAATTGATATAAAAGGATCTAAATCCTTAGATGTGACCAGACGCATTATTGCACTTCCCTCGCGAAATCGTAAACAAAAGGGAATAGGAATAGCAGGGAAACGTTTAAATTCCCGAGACTCCTACTTTTCAGTTAAGAGGAATTAAAAAGCTAACAGGAAACAAAGGGACAAACCAAGCGAGATGACCGATGATCAGGGGGAATTCCCCAGTGATGTTCTAAATTTTCACGTAGGAAAGCAGGAAGACCTTGAGCTAAAAATTCGACAGTTAAAAGGACAAGTTCTGCGAATAAAGGACAGTTGGAACGACCAATCCAAAAATCATGGATATAATTCTAAAGTAGAAATTAATGAATAGGAACGAAAGAAAAGAGGAATAGGAACGCACTAGGAATGGCGCCGCTTCCTCAATAGCCTCATAGATTTCATCTGAATCGCCCGATGTCTCTACCGATGCCTGTAATGACCGGATGATCATACGAGCACAGCAAAACAAGTCTAGGCCCGAGGCCACAGACAGAGGAAATTGCGAATCCTGGGGAAACGAGAAAGGAACCAGGGCGCGGGGATATAGAAATATTGGCAGAGCGCTCGATCCGTCGTAGTCGGGAGAATTCTGAGAACTAAGGACAGGTGGGACATATTTCCCATCCAAAAGCTTTTGATATTCAGGGCTGTCGAAAAACGAAGGAAGCGAGGATTTTGATTTGATACCAGCTAAAAGTTCTTGCGCTTCTGCCAATGAGGAAGGAAGCAGAATAGTGGAAGCTACAGCCTGAGTTTGACTTGAGGTTGAGGCCATTTTGAATTAATAAGAACGAGATGAAGGAAGAAAAAGAAAGAAAACGGACTTCAACAAAAATTTGTTGAACCCCGTGCCCTGAACCAAATAAATGTACACACTGAATCAGTGTGTACGTCAGAATAGTTCTCCGTGAAATGGAAGCTTGTTCTGTGATTAGATGATAAAAAGATTGTGAATTAAAATTTTGAAATGTGATACGAATACCGAAAAAGTATCCAATTCAAATTGAGCGCTAAACTGCTACGATTCGTAGCAGGCGTGTGAATAAATTGATAGATGAGCGCTAGAAACCCATTTGAGGGCATCCAAATTGATTGGAGAGCATGGAGAAGTAGAGATCCAAACCCAGTGAATTACATTAAAAGGAGATATAGTCTTGTCGAATCAATCTAATAACAGATTGGGTATCCTTTCCCTATACAAAACTACGAATGACCGAGGACAGTCAAATTCTTTAGTTTGGGGGGGATGACACACCTAAATTTTGGCTAGATGTCTATGCTGTGAATTGTGACATTTTCACGTATAGATTTGTATCAAGAGGACTGTAATTGAGACCCAGATTGACAGTCAAAGTCGATACTGAATCAGTCTAATAAGTTGAAGGGACCATATACCCATACTACCACAAGTTGGTTAGTTTACCCATCCCCGATACTACCTACGGATAGCAGTCTACCTGTTTGTCAAGCAGGATTATACCAGACTCGGACTACATCCGAAGGATGACCATTCACGTATGACATACCAAGAGTATTCTTATTGGACCTTACACTGGCAGGAGTTTGGAAGAACTTACTCAAGTGACCATGAACCAAGGATTGACTCGAAATGACTTTCTAGAACTCAGGAATTATCAAATACTCCTTCTAGAACGAGATCATGCATTAATCTAAAAGACTGCGATTTAGTCTAATAGACCAATCAAGTTGCATGGTTGAGTAAAATGACTAGAAGAATGATCGAAGTACTGCGAGGCTCCGAAGGCATATCAAATGAATGTCAAAGAGTCCTGACGTAGAAAATATTGAAGAATACAATTAAATGAATACTATGCGTAACTCCCTTGATAGAGTATAGGCACAATGGGTGTCTATTGAAAGAGAGAAGCAATTAGTTTAATCCAGATGAATCAGATTGATAGGATTAGAATCGAGGAGAGCTGATTTGCCTCCGGACGAGGTGACAAACGATCGAAGTAAGTGTTGGACCGCAATGACAGTTGAACACCATTCGAGTCATCCTCCAAAACAATTAAATTAAATGAATATTGAAGTACCTACCTATGTTTGGAGGTATACTAGAATCTTGGAACCAATATGGACCAAATAAGGACATGTAGATTCAAATTAAATGGTATCTGACTGAGTGTAGAAGTTTCCTTGCGGTTCCGAACGTTGATTGTATTAAATTAATTGTACTATGTGACTCTATATTCTGTATGTATAAATAGCGATCCGATGTATCTGGAATACAAGTGATTTTGGGACGACGTTGCAGTGCTAATCCGTAAAAAGGAAAGACACACTCCCGCCAGACTGAAACCTCTTCGCTAGCAGCCATTCGGGCCTGGCACTTGTGAGTATAGGAACGTCGTGTTCTGCTCCTTGTGACTGCAAGAAGTCTATCCAGTTGTTGGGTATTCTTCGAACTTAGGATCAGTCATTGGTCTTAAGGGCAAATCACGCTGTGTGGTTGTGCCAGCACATAGTTCTAGCCCTCCGAGGGGTCTGTGTGTTTCGGTTTTAATTTACTTTGATTCAAACCCCCAATTCTTGATATACCCAAATCAATACAAACCACAGCACAAATTGTGCTAAATCTACCTTGATCAAAGGAATATATCGAATCCTTAGAACGATTCAAATTGATTGATCAAAGCTTCTTACTTAGCTCTCAAAGCTTTGCGGAACCTTTGCCAATGCTACCCCTTGCTATTAAATAAATTTGATAGCAGTGAACTCGCATATTGTGTATTAGATTGGTTGGTTGGAGTGCCCATTAGATTCCTTCCTTTCTCTTTCACACAAAAACGAGGCAAGCTCGTTATCGCGGTAGTCTGGGTCGTATTCAGGCAGGTTGAGGTCTCTGGAGATGGATGAGCTGTATAATAGGCTAGAAGATTTTGGAAAACAAACATACGGAGCCATGGGTTTATGAAAGTCGAATGAAAGGTCGTCATTTTGAGAACGGTCCTGAGATTGGTGTAGGTGGCAGGAGAATATTAGGTCAATTAGGTCAGGTCATTGAAGACAGAGCTATAGGATACCTACCATTGGAACAAGTTGAATTTGTTTGAGCTGGGTTTATGAGGTTCTTGAGATTGTGATGAAGGTTATTTACCGAGAGGTGGCGCAACAGAGAAAACTATGTATTACTCGTCCTTAGGCGCTCAGTCCAAGATGTCTTATTATCACCACTGTCTTATTATCACCACGGTCTTTCAATGAAATACACAAATCGTCCCCAAGAACAATTCATCCCAGTAAATATTTAGTATGCAAGAAGCTTTGAGCAATGTGGGTCAGTTTGAGAGCATATATGAAGCACGGAGAGTATATAGACGCGGTGAACCTCGTTACATGATCTGTTAAGATCACTCCTCCTAACTCTTTCAGCCTTTACATCAAACTTTGGTAGTAGTATCAAAAAATTTCATTATATACCAGTTTCATTTCAATGAACACTTCTCAAATTCTTTGTGAAGTCAATAACATTTCGCAATACACATTCGAAAAAGGTATGGAGTAAATTAAGGTGGGCCGCCCAATTCATCTAACGTAGGGTATAGTCCCAACCCCATTAACCACCGCGTGCATCTCCGTTCTGACTCCCTATCTCTTTCAGTTTGATCCAGGCTGTTCAGATATTGTTCCTGCGTTTGAAAACCTTGATCAACCCAACGGCAGAGTCCCCCAGAGAAATATTGTGTAAATGACATACGGGTTTCCTTCTTACCAATACGTGTGTTGGAATGGCGGCAGGATCCAGAGGGTATGACGATCAGAGAGCCTGGTGGAAATTCGATGACCATCTTAAGATCCCAGAGTATGATGTGCCCACCTTTGTGATGGTTGTAGTTGCCAAACGTCCAGATCGGACACCACCCGAAAGGCAAATTTGTGAAGTCAACGTGAGGAAAAGAGACTGTCTGAGGGCCGAAGTTGAATGTTGCGCCAGGAAAAATGCTGTTCTCAAAGATTTGTTGCAGAGAGCAGTCGGAAGATAGAAGCCATTCAAGGTGGTCGGAACAATAGTTGTGAAGTCGCGGCGCCCAGGTCTTCACTACACCTTTCCAAACAAATGTGAACCGGGGGTAAGAAACTGCGTACTGAAACACATACCGGTGGTGAATCCGACCAGCCGTTTGATGGACCAATGTGCCATAAGTTCATCCAGGACCTTTTGGTTGGTACCATTGTGTCCTAGATTGATTGGGTGCTGTTGGACAGGTTATCATAAGTCGTTATGGAGGAAGCGAAATCCTTACAGTAGTCCCGTTACTATGTACAATTCCCATTGAAAGAGCCGCAAAGTCACCGCGTCGATGGTTACGTTGTTTTCTTGTAAACCTACACTTTCGACGGCATTTGGCAAGTAAATCTGTCGCAGCTTTAATACAATGCTGAAATGTGGAAGATTTTGGTGGGGCCACCAGCAGGACAAAAGTCCGTTCCTCGCTATCGACTAGGGGAATTGTTGAACTGATACGGAGGAAATATTAGCAAAGGTGCATAAGGATTCAGAAAACTTACTCAGCGTCCCATTTGAACAACGAAAATTTGAACTTGGAGTTAGGGCCAACCATGTCTTCGAGTGACCAAGCCACACCGTCACCTTCCTGGCACTCAGACCGCTTTCCGACATAGGCAGAGGAAGCTACGGGAGCATCCTCTTCCATGGAGAATTGAGGGTGTACCGGGGTGGATGGGTACACGTGCTTTCGTTGGGCAGCAGGTTTCACAGGAATTTCATCGGCAGTTTTGGGCAGTGCTTCCTTGCGTTTTCGTTTTCGAGCAGCTTTGCTAGACGCTTTAGCACGAGAAATTTTACGTTTCTTGGTGTTTGTAAGGCCGGGTGAAGGTTGGTTGGGGGGCTGAACCATGGCACTGGCTGGTGGATCTTCTATGTGCTTGGGGCTTGCTGGGGGAGAAGAGAGTGGTGAGGAGGATGGAGAGGAGGGAAGTGACGAGAGAGGAGACCCGGGGACCGTAGGTTTGCTGGTCTCGTTGTCATCCAACTGGTCCTGAGTGGCTTCCGTCCGTATTGCTTGCAGTATGGCTTGAGAAAAGCTGAATTCCTTGGTAATGACATATGCTTCGATGCCGAGAGCCTGTGCAATAGCTTATGGGGGGATTAGTATAGAGCGAAGGAGTAACGGCAGGCTTGTAGATCTGATAGCCTGAGACATCCTCTGCATGGGCTTCATATTCCCGTGGCGCGAGTATTCAAAGTCCATGCAGCACCGGTCTCAGGCCTCAGGATAAAGAAGGTGTGAAACAAAGCAAAAAATAGACGTACCAGTTGGCAGCTTGAGCTTGATTCTCATCTGATTGAACTCTGGCTCCCTGTCTGTGTGGCGTTGAAGAAATGAAAGTCGCGACCCACGTGATGGTGACCTGATCAGTTTCGTCTCGCATATTTTCTGCATGAATTTTGACAGTACTAGTGTTATTTTGCGGATTTCCCTCAAATTCTCTTATCTATAAATCTAATCGATGGCTACTGATGGTCTGAATCCACGTTGCTCTCAAACCACGATGGTCAACAAGAATACCCCAAAGCCAAAAAATGTTTACTTCCTCCTCGCCCCCCCGGGAAACCAGCCCCGCGCTGGATTGTATTCATCTATGTGAGTAGATAGTCATTTTTTAATTCACTTTTTCCTGATGAATACAACGCGGAAGGCAATTCCGTCGCAATGGCCTCTGTCAAGTCCATGCCGCGGGCCTCCATTCCGCCGCTCGGTACTCCGAAGATCCACTCTTATTGTAATCTTACTCTTATTGTTCTTTCTCACTACACATACCCTTTCGTTCTAGTCTCTCCTTATTGTCTTTTACTCTACCCTGCAGGTACTATGTCAAGTCCATGCCTCGGGTCTCCACTTCGCCGCTCGGTATCCCGAAGATCTACTTTTATTGTAATCTCTCCTTATTGTCCTTTCTCGCTACACATACCCTTTCATTCTAGTCCCTCCTTATTGTCTTTTACCTTACCCTGCAGGACTACACGTATAACTCCTAGTAGCTAGTCTGGCGCTCCGCACCGCTGCGCCGCTCCGTAGATATAAATACTGCTTGTACGCTACTGTAGTTCCTCAGTTTAATTATCAACTTAGATCTCCCTTCTCAACTTAACTCTTCTCTAAGTCTTCAGGCTCAACGCCTTGAAGTACGTTCTCCTCGACCTTAGGACTTTAACGTTCTCTGGTCCGCTCCTCGTCATCGGCGATACCGCCGCTCCGACCTGGCTGCTACTTAGCTCCTCTCTTCTATACTCTCGACCTCCGGGGACATACGGCGTAACGGCGGTGTTGTTAATAACTTCACTACTGTCCCATTCGTCTTCCGCACTTAGACACCCTGTGACCTCTGGCACGGTTACACGGGTTGCATGATCTTAACATACTACTCGTATAGCTCCTAGTAGTTAGTCTGGCGCTCCGCACCGCTGCACCGTTCCGTAGATATAAATACTGCCTGTATGCTACTGTAGTTCCTCAGTTTAATTATCAACTTAGATCTCCCTTCCAAACTCAGCTCTTCTCTAAGTCTTCAGGCTCAACGCCTTGGAGTACTCTCTACTATAACCTTAGGACTTAAACGTTCTCTGGTTCGCTCCTCGTCACCGGCGTTACCGCCGCTCCGACTTGGCTGCTCCTCAGTTCCTCCCTTCTCTACTTTCGATCTCCGGGGACTAACGGCGTAACAGCGGTTTTGTTAATAACTTCACTACTGTCCCACTCGTCTTCCGCACTTAGACACCTTGTGGCTTTGGCACGGTTACACGGTGTACATGCTCTTAACAGTATAATTAAACTCAATCCGTTAACGTCATACTGACCTATCATTTTTATGCCTCCGAAAACCCAAGCTCAATCCAGAGCTAACTCCGAAGAAAACACTTTCTTCACTACAGCCCAATCATTTGCCCCATTCTCCGACTCTATCTCTGCTATCGGTCAACCACGTCGCCGTAATCGCGGTTTCGGTCCAGCCACTGTTCCTACTACGTTGACTCTTCCTGAAGCCATGGAAGAGGAACAACAATTTGAGTACAGCACCTTGTACACTGGTGACGGACAACCTGTTAAGATCATGCAACCCGTGTAACCGTGCCAGAGGTCACAGGGTGTCTAAGTGCGGAAGACGAATGGGACAGTAGTGAAGTTATTAACAACACCGCCGTTACACCGTATGTCCCCGGAGGTCGAGAGTATAGAAGAGAGGAGCTAAGTAGCAGCCAGGTCGGAGCGGCGGTATCGCCGATGACGAGGAGCGGACCAGAGAACGTTAAAGTCCTAAGGTCGAGGAGAACGTACTTCAAGGCGTTGAGCCTGAAGACTTAGAGAAGAGTTAAGTTGAGAAGGGAGATCTAAGTTGATAATTAAACTGAGGAACTACAGTAGCGTACAAGCAGTATTTATATCTACGGAGCGGCGCAGCGGTGCGGAGCGCCAGACTAGCTACTAGGAGTTATACGTGTAGTCCTGCAGGGTAAGGTAAAAGACAATAAGGAGGGACTAGAATGAAAGGGTATGTGTAGCGAGAAAGGACAATAAGGAGAGATTACAATAAAAGTAGATCTTCGGGATACCGAGCGGCGAAGTGGAGACCCGAGGCATGGACTTGACAGTATCCCCCTCTTAGGCTTGAGCCCTCGAAAGCCATTAATACCGGGAGTTGATTTGTCACCAAGAAAAAATTTTAAAGGCCGTCAGCATCGGAAATTTCGGCCTATCAGTCAGCAAGAAAATTTTCAAAAGCCGTTGGTACCGGGAATTGGCGTTAGTCATCAGTGAAAATTTTCGGTGCACCGTAGACCAAGTACAATTCGAAGAAAAAATTTTCGCTGGTCCGTGCGCCATTTTGTCCCTATAAAAAGGGCCAGGTTTTGCCGCTAGGGCCCTAACTTTTCCCAAAAACCCAAGTCCTCAATGTCGACCAGCCGTACTCAAACTCACACCACCTCCTCTTCTACTGCCGGTCCTTCGGAACACCGACGACTGGTATTACCGGTCAATCCCACCGAACCTGCCGATCCCGACTCCCTTGAGGAAGAAGACCTGGATGAGGACGAAGCCGAGGTCCTGAGGAAGGCACAGGAGAAGGTTCGTCGGATGAAGGAGAGGAAGGCAGCAGCGGCGGCCGCGGCAGCGGCGAAACAAAAAGCCGAAGAGGAGGCAGCTAAGAAGGTAGCGGAGGAGGCGCGAGAACAAGCCGCGGCGAGGGAGGAAAGGAGGAGGAGAATGGCAGCAGCAGCTACTGCCCGCAGTCGGCGAGGATCTTCGCCAGAAGAGACTTCGGGGTCCCCTCGGAGGCCCGTTGTGGAGATCCGGAGGGAGAAGAACAAAGGGAAAGGGAAGTCCAAGGCCCAGGTGAGTAACAATGTCCTGGTACTTCCTGCCTTTACTAACGTTCTGAGTTCCAGCCCGTGGATGAGGATCCCGATGACGGCGGAGACGGCGGTGACGACGATGACGAAGAAGATGAACGGACGCCCTGCGAACGATGCAGGAACAAGAAAATCCCTTGCCAGATGCAGGCTGGCAAGAGGAGCTCAATAATTTGCAAACCCTGCCACGACGCCAAGGTACGGTGTTCGTATTCCAACCGGCCCTTCACGGTCAAGCGAGAGGGAGGGTCCAATCCGACCGGCGAGCGCCTGGCGGTCCTTGAAAGTCAAGTGGCCCAGCTCCTCGCCGATAATCGACAACTTCGAGATGGTCAGGTAAAGGCAAATACCTACCATCGCCACTTCAACCGCAAGCTGGACTGGCTGATAACGGACGCCGCGAGGAGGAGGAGGACACCCCCTGAAGTACCGGAGGCCGGGCCGTCGGGATTGCCGAGGAAGCGACGGAGGGTAATAGACAGCGACGAGGAGGAAGATCATGAAATAGAGAAGGAGATAGAGAAGCAGGGATTGGAGGAAGATGGGGAAGGAGATGAGGAGGAGATGGTAGAGGAGGAACCGGCGCCGGCGAAGGCGCAGTCAGAGAAGGGAAAGGAAAGGGCCGTAGAGTAGTGAAACTACGGACATCGGACATCGGCCCTTCGGCCATCTTCTTATATTTCTTGTAGTCTTCCTGTTGTCTTCTTGTAGTCCTGTCTCTCCTGTATATATTTTTGAACTTTGTATATAACAAAAAATGTTCAACGCAATTTTGAAATCGGAGAGCGAATGGGCCGAAAAGCGGCGTAAGAAATAATTAGTTTTTGAAGTATAAGTAGTTTAAGTGTGAAAGAAATATAAGTGAAATAGTAGATAGAAGGAAGAGTTTAACAATTAAGAGAGAGGGATAAACACTCAATTTACTATCATCGTGTTTACCCTCTAAATGCACAAAGTAATCTTCGGCGGAGCGCGGCGGAAAACGGGGAAAAGGAATAAAATGATTTTGTGTGATCAAGGTCCAGGTTTCAAAGGGTATCGAGCGTGGAATGCGGGGACCAGTTCATCAGCATGTAATTCATCAGCGGCAACCCAGGAGAATTCATCATCGGTACCTTCGTAACCGGCCCACCGAATGTAATAACGTAGAGGACAACGTTTGTACCTTCTGTCCAGCTTGGAGTCAAGGATTTCGGCAACGTTGTACTCCTCTTCACCATCAACTTCAATTGGAGGTGGAGGAGATTGAGTTCGATTCGGGAACGGGTTCGGCGTAACCGGCTC